TCAATGGCACAGTTTTCTGAGGCAACGGGCATGCTTTTGTGCCGAATATGTTGGTAATTAAGTGTATGTAGCAGCAAAACGAGGGAATGCTTTTGTAAATTATTGTTATCACTTAGTTAATAGGTCATGGGAGACACTCCCATCTTTTGCTGGCTTAGCTAATCGAATCAGTAGTTTGTGCAGCGTTGACGACCATTTATACGCTATGCACCATTCTAAGACACCTTACAGATATCATATTTCTACAAATCAGTGGCAATATGTAGCTAACTTAAGGGCTCCAAGTAACATGCCAGAGAGTTCATTTTGCAACAAAGCATGCAGCACTATTAGTATATAAATCTCGGGTGTACGTACTTCGTGGACGAGGAGTAAGACGTTGTTGGGGAAGTAGAAGAAATGGATACTATTACCTCTGGGAAGCACAGGTAGCAAACGCATTTTGCTTTGATCAAAAGAGGAATATGTGGGAACAAAAGGTTTCAACAAGTAACCCCCCCCCCCCCCCCCCCCCCTCTTATCTGAAGGTCTGGATCCGCCACTGTTAATTTCCAGATACCTGATATTATCACGGTCATTAAAATAACCGGTAAATAAATTTGGTCAAAATTACTTAATAAGACTGATACAGGACTGATAAGTCAAATAATACACATAAAAATCAATTATCAAAACCCACCCGCCGGATACCCGGGTGATGCATTCGTTATTAACCGGGGCTGATCGTGCGACCACATGCCACCTAGGGATTCATAGAGAGAACGTACCGCGATTGTCAACGCCGGGAACGCGGAAGGAGGCTGGACAAGAGGAAATAGGAGCTTATAAGAGCTTTGTTCAAATGAGAGCATTAAGCGGGAATATAGTGAAAATTCGTGTTTTTTCGACTATCATAGGCCCATTACTTTGCAGAAGAATTGGAGGTGAAACTGTCGTCAACATATAGGCTAGTCAGCGATCCCTTTAACCTGAGATCAGGCTCAATTTTCGTTTCTCTTAAATAACATTCCAGCGCGCAAGACGAAACGAAAAGAGAGCCTAATTTTAGCGCGACTACGTAAGAGAGAATGTATGAGAACTGCTAAAATTGGGCCTGATCTCAGGTTACGATCCTTCGTACACCGTTACTCACGATGTAACAGTTTTAAAAGCTCGACATTTTTCACAGCGTAAAATCTCCAGCTCCGCATGAGTTTGGTTTGCGTTTGTAACCTTCTAGCTTCCATGTCTTCCAACCTTTTCTTCTTTGCTTGCAGGTTATAATCCAACAACGTACCCTCCTAATTCGAAACTAGGTTACCACGCTTAGATTACATGCATTATTCTATTTGAGAGAGAGATTTTGATACCACCGGGGGCTCCTGGGAGAGCAGCCCCCCACTTTTCTAGAAGAAAATTTTGTTTCTGCTTTCATATGAGGTACATACGAAGAGTCAAGAATAAGAAAAGGAAAGGCAAAAGGTTCGGTTTACCAAATTACCACAGATGAAGTTGGATTGCCTGTAGTGTAAGGCGGAGACTGGCAAGAGGGAATCTTGGGCGTATTCACACAAGAGACGAGTTATCCGCTGGATAATTCGCGTCAGACAGATAATACGTCTGAAATGGAACGGTCTTAATTTTGGATGGACAATCCGCCTGACTTGATCCATCTGTATGTCCGTAAATTTTGACGGATTTTGAAGGTGGATTATCGGATAATCCATCTGTAGTGCGAAAACGGCCAATATTTGCTGGTTTCAAGAAAACATCGTTTACAAGTTATAAGGACCTACTCTATGATATGTAATTTCTTGCTAAGTTTTTTGTGAACCCTGATTAAAACTCCATATTTTTTTTAACTAGTTAAAACTGAAACTTGCTAGGTAACGACGTTTAATTCTGAAATACTTTTCGAGACAAATTAAGATTCAGAACTCGCGGCGATTCTTCGATAACCTAATTCTGATATTATGGTAATGCTACTGAGCTGAGCACCATTTCATTCTTTCTGCACGATGGATGAGCACAAAAGAACGATTTTAGATGCGCACATATTGCTAGCAAGAGTCGTTGGCAAAATATCAAAAGGCACACAACCACCATTTTATTCATTGTACTAGGCAGCTGGAATGTTGCCTTAGGATATGATAGCTTTAAAGAATATCGATCCCATCCGAAAACAAGCAATAAACTTAAACAAATTTGATTGCCGCCGTTGGCCCTTTTTGGTGGAAACATCAATTAGGTATTACACGCTTCAGCATACACAGTGGAAGATGAGAAAGTAAAACCATAATTTGCTGCATGTCTTTTTAATTATTTCCCTCATTAGCATATGAAGATTCTAACTAGGACACATAAGAATTAATATCAGACGCAATATTAATGGTTCCAATATAGTTTGGAACTGATATATTTTCTCCGCCTAAAGTGTACTTCTCTTTGCGTAAGGATATCTCTGGTATCTCTGGTATGGTTGTTCATTCACAGCTCCTATTGTCAAAGTGTGCTCAGTTTAGAGAAAAAGATGAATTCATTGATGTTCGGTTGAATGTGGGCGAAGACGTTTTCTCGGCTCATCGCGTAATGTTCCTGCAAGCAGAGGATGTGATCGAGCTAAAGGATGAAAGCATTCTCTTTCAACAGCTGCCTTGGACTCCATCTACGGTAGAGGTCTTGATGTCAACGATAAAAACGTTTTTGAAGTTCGTCTTGCAGCCGATCACCTTCATGTTACTTGTGCTGTTCAACGCTGTTGAATTTACCCGCAAACCGAGTCTGCGAAGTGTCAGATCAGGGGCACCCAACGTCAATTTTTGGAAAAGTATCTGTTCGGCAGACGACCCGGGGGGGGGGGGGTATCTCCGAATCTGAAAGGGGGGGGGTGGTTGCAAGTTTTATTTGGGGGGTCAAATTCCGGTTATTGGTCACATTAGGGTGTTTTTCGCTAAACCTCTTAGACTTTAACCTGTAACGGT